GATGATGATACATGATGATGATACATGATGATGATACATGATGATGACACATGATGATGATGCATGATTATGATGATGATACATGATGATGATACATTAATTACATTTATATATTGTAATGGTCCATTCTTTCCCCACAGGACCCTGATGGGGGCATTACTGCTCAATCTTGGGGGTGCACCTGAAGGCCCAGCAGGGACAGGCAAGACTGAAACCTGCAAGGACTTGGCTAAAGCAGTGGCAAAGCAGGTTAGCTTTTATTCCTTACAATCTTGAGATCATTGCCTTTGTTTTTCTAATTTATTTTCATTCTTGTTTTCAGTGTGTTGTGTTTAATTGCTCTGACGGCCTGGATTACAAGGCAATGGGCAAGTTCTTCAAGGGTCTTGCACAATCTGGAGCCTGGGCTTGTTTTGATGAGTTCAACAGAATCGAATTAGAGGTATTCTTATGATCCATAAAACTACCCAGTCTCTCATAGAAAATCTTTCACCATTGAGTCATGCGGCATACCTACCCCTTCCTCCAAAAAATCTATTGTCGCACGTACCCTTATTACGTGGACGGTTTTTTGATTGACTATGAAAGAAATTCAGTGACACTTCGTCCCTCCCCTCCCCCATACCTTTACCTTTGTTGACACTACTTCCCCCTGCGTTCTCACATCCGTTGTCACTACCTCCCTCCCCTCCCCCTTACATTCGTTGTCACCACGTCCCTCCCCTCCCCCATACCTTTACCTTTGTTGACACTACCTCCCCCTGCGTTCTCACATCCGTTGTCACTACCTCCCTCCCCTCCCCCTTACATTCGTTGTCAAYACGTCCCTTCTCTCCATCCTTACCTACATTATTTACCTTGACCTTCTTTTCCAGGTGTTGTCCGTCGTAGCGCAACAGATTCTGACCATCCAAAGAGCAGTGATGGAACGGTTTGATAAGTTTGTCTTTGAAGGAACAGAGATTTCGCTGGACCCAACATGTACCATCTTCATTACAATGAATCCAGGCTACGCTGGTCGTGCTGAGTTGCCTGATAATCTTAAGGTATCTCTTGAATTGCTTGTCAGATTTGGGCTGCAAGACATCTGTTATCGCCCGTTGTACTGCAATGTCCCTTGATTACAGACTCATACATTCAGGGTTAGCTTCATTTCAGTTCAGAACATTCACAAATACCAATGGTAAAATAAAGAATGCACAACCTCAATAATACAAACAGTTTGAAATTCGGACCACGGATTTTCACTGAAGCAGATTAATATTCTACGCAAAATCGGGGCAGGCACTGAGCAAAATGCACTATAAAGCGTTTTATCCTTGGCTAGAGTCTGATAATGTAAATTCGAAGCAGTCCGTGAATCCCTTTTCTTGCCCCTGGTTTTGTCAAAAAATATGGGAATTTTAATTGCTGTGGATGTAGAATTGACTGTTATTTCTGGGATGATCAGTCCCCTCCCCTCCCTCAAAATTCTAGATACGCCTTTGTTAATATGATTGTTATCTTGAATGATACTTTTTTCTGCAGGTTCTGTTTCGTACCGTTGCAATGATGGTCCCAGACTACGCGCTTATTAGTGAGATCAGCTTGTACTCCATGGGGTTTGTGAATGCTAGGAGTCTGTCGGCAAAGATAGTCGCCGTCTACAGGTTGTGTTCTGAGCAGGTAAGTAGGTAAAGGAAGTCGTCAGCACTGCGTTCTCTTGCCTCAGCCAAGGATGATGATGATGATGATACATGATGATGATG